AGGGGATTTTTGAGAGCCGGTCCAGCTGTAGAGTGAATGGAGAGTGGGCTGTCTCCTAACAGCTGTGTTTTTTGTGATTCTGTTCATGTCAGGCCTGTGTCAGCAAGTAGCCCCCTATTTCAGCACCTGACCTTTGTAATTAGCAGCTTTCGTTAGTTCTAACCTGGACAGAAGTGCCTGACATCACACATTGCTTATTGATGCAGGAGTGGGGTGACTGGAAGGCTGAGCCCTGGCCACCACCAGCCCCACAGGGGCTTGTTAACAAGTTCAGAATTATGGGGGATGCCTGGCCAAGGAAGCATCGATCAAGTGCCCTTTGGGTGGCTAATTTCTGTTACCTTTTTACTGAGCCTTGTCTGTAAAACTTATCATCTCCTCAAGGACAGAAGTCAAACCATGGAACCAGAGCCATGAAGCTCGTTGAGATCTCTGTGGTCATCAAGCCATCATGGTGACCATCCCCACTCAAAGAACCACAGAATCACTCAGATTGGAAAAGATGTCTGAGATCATAAGTCCATCCCCAGCCCATCCCACCATGCCCACTGTTCACCACATCTCCACTTACCCTAAACTTAGGTGGCAGGGCCTGTTTGCAGCACATCAGTTGTCTGGCAGCCACTCACAGGATAAAAACTTTAAAAAAAACACAAAGAATGACTTTTATGAGTGAGCTTGATTCTTTTGTCAAGGATTACTCACTAACCTGCCTGTGGTAGTCCATAATATTCACTTTAATAAAATATTTGCACTCTTCAGCGCTCATAAATTTCCCCAATATTTCAGGGCGTTTCTAAACAAAATTAACCCCGGCGCAGGGAGCGTCTCAGCTCATTGCTTTCAGGCTTTCCGACACTACTTATTGCATTGGCTCAGCCCCAAAATGAGCAAAGGAATGCAAGGGCACTGCAGCGTTTGGATTGTATATGTGTGAAATTCTAAACACAGATGATGTAGGCTAGGCGGGTGACCTGTACATCCGTGGAGAGTGCAACTTGATTTCCAACTTGACAGCTTTTTGTTGAAATGAAGGGGATGGATGGGGCCTGCAGGCTACAAGCAGTGGAAATCCGGGGCAGGGCAAGCCGTGAAGCTGTGGTAGATGTCACTCAGCGTGAGCCTTGGGAATTATCCTGAGATCAGTCTCAAGAGCTGCCATGTAGTTCTTAAATAAGGGCAGAAAAGAAGATAGTGTCATAAAATCGCAGAATAGTTGGGTTGGAAGGGACTTAAAGATCATAGAGCTGTGGAATGGTTGGGTTGGAAGGGACTTAAAGATCATAGAGCCGTGGAATGGTTGGGTTGGAAGGGACTTAAAGATCATAGAGCCATGGAA